GGGCCCCCTCCTGATCACCCACACACTGTGCCCCACTGCCCAAAGAGTCCACTGGGAGTGGCATGCCATCGTTGCCAGCCAGGACCAACCGGAGCTTCTAGGTATGCCCCACACTGTGGGGAGAACCTTCCACACCCTGGCCCTTGTCCCTGGCCCTGGCCCCCCTTCCCTGCCTGGCCTGGCCGCACTCCCCTGGCCCCCAGGTTCTGCCCCCACAGTAAGGGAGGCAGAAGACAATGAAAAACTTTATTGAGCAGCCTGTGCCCCTGCAGCTAGGTGGGCATGGGCCTTTCACAAGCCAAGAAATATGTTGATGCTGGCAGTGATGTCCTCCTCAGCTGCAGGGGGAAGGGATCTGTAGCGCAGCCACAGGTAGTCCTCCAGGCAGTGGCAGAGGTTGTGGGGCAGCTTGGACTTGGGTCCCACAGTGTTCATGTTCAGGGTCCCATGCCAGGTGCACAGGTTTGCCCAGGGCTCCATTGTGATCAGCATCAGCAGGTCATAGTGGGTTGAGTGCCCCTCAGTCCATGAAAACAGCTCCTCACACAGTGCCTGGGACATATGCAGCAGGGCACATTCAGGGAACAGCACCTCACTCTACTGCCACCCCACCCTGCAGGGAGGGTGGGGATGCAAGCAGCTCCTTATCCCAGTTGTCTGGCAGCCCTGTGCCCCTTTCCCCCACCTTCGCTCCCCTGATTTTGGGCACTGTGGGCTTGGCAGCAGCACAGGAAGCTGGCAGACCTGCAGAAGAAGGGGGTGGGAGCAGCAGAGTCTGCAGCTGCAGCAGCAGGTTCTGCCAGAAGCCTGGCCTGTCCCAGCCGGGGAAAGGGGCAGGGGAGACAGGCTCCCTGAACCCAGCACCCGGCAGCCTCCCAGCCCCTTGAAGCAAGCAGGGATGGGGGGGCTCAGCCTGCAGCCACCTGGGTCCAGGCCTGCCTAGCCAAGTTACCAAGGTCCCTTGGCAGCCATGCACACTGGACCCTTGATCTGAGGCCAGGCAGTGTATGGCTCCTGGTACAGAGCATCTTATCTCAGAAATGTTGCAAACTCTCACAAACAGCTTTTTTTTCTCATGGCTCTGCAGGTCCTGCAGCTGCATGCGGGGGAGAGACCACACTTGGCAGCCAGGATGCAGCCTCAGGGTTGCTGCCATCCTCAGCTGGGGCCCTGGGGATGTGCCGGTTCCACAGGAGGAGGATGCAGGTTTGGACCCTCCTCCTGGACTGGCTGGTGACAGCCACAGAGGACGCGTGGATGTGGCAGCTGGAGGATGTTGCCCAGCAGGACAGGACAGAGGACAAGGCCCACAAGAATATGCAGGACCAGTGCGAGGAGGCGCAGAACCAGCCCAAGGAGGTGCAGGACTGGGTGGACTGGGAGTTCAGGGTGCAGCTCCTGGCCCTAAAGCACAAATGCATGGAGAGCCTGCAGGAAGAGGGTGCAGTTGTGGTCAAGGCAGTGCAGGCCATGGAGGAGGACCACTGGGTGCTGGACACCATCCTGGACCGAGCAGTCACCTTCATGCCACCCGCTGCCCTGCCCCTAGCCCCACCTGCCCCCTGGCAGCCACCAGTCACCCATCAGGAGGCTCCCTTGTGGGCCTGGGCAGAGGTCCAGTACCCCCTCCACCAGCCAGAAGCCCCTGTCCCAGCCCCCACCCTGGGCCCCCACCACCCAGCCCCCTTGCCTGGGCCCAGCCCCACCACTTGCCCCAGCTCTATATAGGCAGGGAGCTGGAGCTGCCTGCAGGGGGGCCAGAACCGCACACTGGCCCTGGCCAATGGCTATCGGAGGGGGAGCTGCCTGTGCCAGGGGAGGACCAGTGGCTGCTGTCACCCTTGGGCAAGCCCCCATCTGCCAGCCACGCTGCAGTGTGCACACCTGCAGGGGCACAACCAGAGGCCAGAGTGCTGGCTGCCTGTCCTCAGGCTCCACCCCCTAGGCACCCCCACCTTATCGCCTCTTGCCCCAGGTGGACACACTACAAATCACATTGTAATATAGTTTGCATGGGGAAGAGGGTGTTTTATTGTTGGTAGATGGGGTGGGTGGTGGGGCTCTGTTGATGGGGAAGGAGGAGGGACAGGCTGTATTGCTGGGGATGGAGGGGGGACAGTGTTTGTTGTGTGGGTAATAAAGTGTTTTCCTGAGAATTGTCCGCAATGAGTGCGGTGCTGGTGGTGGGTAATGTGGCGCGCAGTAAGCATGCATATCTGTGAGCAGCGTGGCGGGGGTCTGTGGGCAGTTGTCCAAGCGGGCTACAGTGAGCAATACAGGAGGAGGTGGTTGGCCAGCAGATGTGCAGCTCAACCAGAGCCTCGGCATGGGGACCCAACACTGGCTGTCGCTGAAGCTGCAGCTGGTGCTTTCACTGCTGGACGTCCTCCTCCCCATTGTGCCTCCTCTGCCCAGGGATCGCAAACCGCTCCCCCCAGGCCTTGCAGATCTTATGCAGCAAAAAGGCTGTGATGATGACCCAGGGCATATTGCCCTCAGTGAACTCAAGGCAGGTGGTGAGGGTGCACCAGAATCCCTTGAGGCAGCTGAAGGCGCACTCCACTAGAGTGCAGGTCCACCCCAGGCAACCTTTTGAAGTGAGTCTGGTGGGGGTCCAGCTGGCTGGGGTAGGGTTGCATGAGCCAGGGAAGGAGTGGCTAGGCAGGGTCCCCAATGAGGAGAGGCAGAAGCACCACAACACCCAGCTAAAGGTTTGGCACACCCAGCATGAAGCGTCCACTTTGCACCAGGGATGGCAAGATGGAATTCCAGAAGACATGGGTATTATGGACACTGCCTGCCTATCCAACACTCACATTGGTGATGACATCATGGTGGTTGACAACAGCCTGGAGCACAATGGGGTGAAAGCCTCTCCGGCTGTAGTAGGAGCAGTTGCCGTGGAGCAGGCACATGACAGGAATGTGGGTCCCTTCCAGGGCCCTGATGCACTGGGGGAATCCCAGGGCATGAAACCCTGCCACCACCTTTAAGGGGTCACGCACATGACAGTAGGCCCTAGTCCTGGAGGGCACATGACAGTGGGCCCTAGTTCTGGAGGGCACTGCACACTTCCAGGATGTCCTCCCCAGTGTTTGCCTTGCCCATGCCAAAGAGGTGACCCATATAGTGGAGGTTGGTGGACGTGGCCAACTTCAGCCAGGTGTCCGTGGGGAAGGGCAGCAGCATAGTGGTGTCCTGACACTCCATGTTGGGGTGGAGCTGCTCCAGGAGGTCAATGAAGATGGCCTGAGTCATCCTGAATGCCCCCAGCTACTGCTCATCATCTCAAGTGGTCTGGATGATGTGCAGCCGCCAGTCCTGGCTAGCCCAGTGGGCCCAGAGGTGGTGGAGCTGGAGGTCCAGGAAGGCAAAGACATTCCCATCAGTGGCATCCTGGAACCTGTTGTCAGTGTCCCTGCCAGGGTCCAACCAGCAGGATGAGGTCCAGGTGGCAGCTACACAGTGGTAGCCCTGGGACGGCATGCGGTGGGACTGGGCAGGTGGTCACAGCACATGGGGGAGCTGGCAGGGCCCAGATGGCTGTGCAAAGCTTCAGTCCCTGATTTGATTCAGTGGAGATTTGGCCTGATTTGATGGCCGAATCTCTAAATCCAAATTGAACCAGAAGACCCTTTAATTTCTCCAAATTGAATTGGAACCCTCCAAATCAATTCAGAGAGATTTGGAGATTCAGACATAGACGCAACTTTAAATGTTTTTTCTACATACCTCTAGGTAGCAGGCAGCTCATGAATGCTGTGATGCTGGGACAGATGGAGCGTCCCACAGAAGTAGAGGGGGCTCCCCAGCATGCTTGGCAGCAGACCTGGAAGTGGATTGGAAGTACTTCTGGTCCACTTCTGGGTCTGCCATAAAGCATGCGGGGGGGGCCCCCCTGTGCTCCCCCGGCTCAGTGACTGGTGCCTCCTGGGCCTGGAGGGCACCCGGGGTCCCCTTGTGGCCAATCGCTGAGCTGGGGAGGCACAGGGGGGCCCCCTGCGTGCTTCCTGGCGGACCTGAAAGTGAACCAGAAGTACTTCCAATCCACTTCCGGGTTCGTCGCTGAGCACACAGGAGGCCCCCCCATGCTACTGTGGGATGCTCCATCCATCCCAGCGTCACAGCATTAACAAGGTGTGCCTGGTACCTCAAGTATGTAGAAAAAACATTTAAAGCTGTGTCAATGTCCGAATTGCTGATTCTCTGAATCAGCACTGAATCTTCAGATTCGTATTCAGCCGAATTGAATTGGGGACAGTGATCTGAATCAACTAATCGAATCGCTGTCCACAATTCAGGCTGAATCTGAATTCGAACTGAATAGGGCCCATCTCGCACACCCCTACCAGATGGCCATGGGCCAGCTGGTGGATGGTGCGGCGGGCCAGCAGGGCCAGTGTTCCAGCCAGCGGGAGTCCAGGGCACTGGGCATCACGGCCAGGGACAGAGGCTGGAGCAGCCATGGCACAGGGAGGCAGAGGCTAAAACACAAGAGTTACCACATGCTGCCCCCGTGCTCTGCATGCTGCTCCTGGCCAGAAACACAGCTGGCCAGGGAGCAGGGAATGGGGATGCCTTTTAAAGATGGCTTCCGGCCACAGGCAGCTGTAGTCAGAGCCTCCAGTTCCCCTCAGTGGTGGCAGTGGCCTGTTGCAGGGCCCCAGGAAGTGGGAGCAGTTTGCTGCCATGAGCAGCAAATCTCCCACATCCCTGCATGTATAGATGCCTGCCTGGGAGCGTTAACTCACAAGTAGTTTACTCACAAGTAAACTGGTCCTATATCAAATGCACTTGTAGTCAGACCCTTTGACTTCAAATGGGACCTTTTGCAACAGTAAAAACTCTGTTTCGTCACCCATATGAGTCCAAGATTCTCTGTAAGTGAGGTCAGAACATTTTTACTGTATTTTGAGATTATTCTAGTAAAAATAATCCAACTGTTTGCCATGTTGTACATACAACAACGTCTTGCTTTTAGCATTTTTTTCTAAGCCTGCATGGGCAAGTAGAATTTCCTCTTGAATCCAAAGGACAGCAAACCAAATGTCAGCTTCAAAAGTGGAAAAAACAAAAGTCTTGTTAAATGGATAAAGTAATTAACAATGAGTAATCAACCTTCCTTCTGAGTGTTCAGCAAAAAAGCTCATAAATGTTGGTGAAAGTAACATAAAATCTTATTGCAGCAAATAATTAGGAAGAGTTCTAACATACCAAATGTGGAACAAATCAGAGTTTCAGTACTGCTCATCACAAAAACAATAAAGAAAAAGTGAAAAAAAAAAGTCCAGGAGATGGCAGCTTTCTGGAAAAACATTATGGCAAAATTCTTTATTTTTACTTCTCATTGTTTTTGTGAGGAATTAATTTAAAGATTTTATGCACTGTACATTTGATGTGATGCAAATCTTCCTGACTATTTTCTGCATCTTGAATTTCCTGAAATCTTTTCTTTTGGTCTTTTAACTTCTACATCAGTGTTGTTTTTAATATGTTCTGCCACTACGTGAGGGCTAGCATGCATAATGAAAGCTAATAAGCACATATCTTTGAGAAATAATTCTGAATCCCAAAAAACCTACTTTAATTTTCCTCTGCTCTAGTTTCTCTTGAGAGCTATGAGAAAGGAAACAAAGATTAATAAAAGTTACATTAGGACTGATCTGACATACAATTTAATATACTGAGAGACTGAATACTGAGACTGCTATGTGAAAGTCTCAAAAACATTTTAAGATGACAGAGATACTCTTAAAAATTAAGGTATGTAAGGATATTAAAGCAGACTTAACACTTAAATTAAAGTTAAGGATTACTCTTAATATCACATGGCTTGCTGTAAACAGTCATGACCTCCATTTGATCTGCTGTTAGATGTAATCATATCTGGGTATGTGAAAAGACTTTGTTAATTTAAGCAATTGATCCCAGGATCAGCCCTTAATTCCAAGAAAATTAATAATATTAATAAAGATATAAAATTACATTTCTTTAAAAAAATCAGTGTTATTTTTCTCCCTGTCTGAAGTTCAGTTTTGACGCTTCTGGAATGGTGTAGCTTTGTACTGATTCCATGATGATTTTACTTTTACATAAGGATGTTTTCAGAACTAAGACAGAGCCAGACCCAGCAATAACAGACTATTTTGCTGCATATGGTTCCATGTTTGAAGTCTGGGCATTGTAGCCTTTATCTCCAGGACCAATCAGAGTTGAGAAGATTTTAAAACAGATTAAGACGGAAAAGAGATTTAGCCAACCTGCTACATGGTTATTTCAGTAAGAAAGCTTTTGTTCCTTCATGGCAAGATTTCACTTGAAGCAGAGAAATACAGACAACATTTCTGATTTGTCTGCAGGAGGTAAATATTTTTATAGAAGCCCAAAAATGTTAATGTTGCTAGGTCCATGTTCTTTACTAGATATATTCCCACCCCACAAGCAGTATGGCAGAGCTGCGTGGAAGAGAAGGTTTTACTTCATGAGCACCCTGGTGGCACAAGTGTATGGTAGGTGAATGTTTGAAAAAGGGTCATAAAGTACTTCATTGTCTTTCATTCATGCACTCAGATCTGCTGACATGCTGCTTTTGATGGTTGTTTCTCTTCTATTGCTGTAATAGATTCGGCACTTCTGCTATAAATATTTTGTCTGAAAGGGCACTCACAAATTGGGCTACCAAAAAGAGCTGAAAGCATTGATGCCACAAATGACTCTTCTCTTTTATGTGTTTCAAAATAAGTGTTTCAACTTGTTCGGTTTTCAGCCAGACTTTTGACTTTTGGTTTTCTTGCCATAATGAACCTGTGAGTTTTCTATTTTGTCTAGAAGAAGCACTCAGCCTTAATTAATTATATGATTTGAGTCTTGGCAAGGTAAGAAATATAGAGAGGCTGAAAAATAACTCTTAAGGATAAACATTTCTGCATAAAAAGAATAAAATGAGGATTACTGAACTAAAAGGAATGTCTGTATTATTTCACACGGGACTTTTCAAAGTGGAGTGAGTAAAAGGAAATAATGAAAATCTAATATCCCACGTCATGAACTAACTAAAATCCTTCCCAGACAGTAAGGACTGAAAACTACATCAGTATCAGGATGATTGATGGAGAAGACTTCAGAGTAGCTACAAGCACCAAAGCCTCTAGATCAATGTATGTGACCTTTTCAGACCAGTTCAATTGTATTTATAACATTCCCAGTGAAGCAATGATCTGTGAATTTAAAAATAAGAAAAATGTCATTCCAGAATGCTTCACAAGGCATATAACACAGTCTCAGCTTCAGGTGAACTTTCCCTGCCAAATGACTGAAAAGAAATGCTTTGTGAATGTAGAAATATATTTTGTTCTAAACTATGTCCATGATGCCAACAAGCTGCATCAGATTGATTTTTGTACTCTCAGGTACATTAAGTCCACTATATTTTTTTTTTGGCAGCATAAAGGAGCTTTACATAGGTGTGAAAATTGTTTACACAATGTGGGGTGGTCCCTGAGAGGTATGGGGCTTGTGTAAAGGCCATAAAATGCCCCTGCTCCTGACCCTTGGTTTGAGATTGGATTGGGGATGTGGTTAGCCAGCACTGCTCCACAGAGAGAATTTTTAAATGTAGCTACATGACTTTGGAGAATAAATTCCATTGAAATTCAATGGAACTTGTGCTCCACAGTCACATAGGTACTTTTGAAAAATTCCACTGTACAGGTATCCTTTACTTCCAAGGACCTGTGAAGGTCCATGAGAAGTAGAATGCAACCAAGAGTCTAAAATGCAGCAATATAGACTCTTTGGTTAGCATTCAGAAAAGTTTTTGACTATATATAGCACTGGAGCATTGTAATTTGTTCAAAGCAAAGTTTTTCATCTCTTTATCCTGTATCTGTTCAGTCTGCACCACTATTGTGCTAGCATTGGTGGAAAGCAGTGATGGAGAAGCTACATCATTGCCACTTGTGTGATGCCACAGAGTTCTAGCATTCTCTTTGGGCGCATCTACATGTGCAATTAAGTTGAAGCAATAAACTCTGGTGCTTATTGTGCCAGAATTTATTACTTCCTTGGCACTATTTACACGTGTGCCTGGGAGCGCAGCACATTGAGCTGGGTCAGTGTACCCCTGGCTGGCAGGGGACCTGGGGGATCAGCCTGCTAGCCCATGGCTGCTCCAACCTGGCTCAACATGTTGCAGAGGGGCTGGTTGGGACAGGAGGATGTTCCAGTGTGGGACTAGCTGGCAGGCAGCCCCTTGCCTCAGCCAGCCCCTCCAGCATCTACACATACATTGCTGCGAAGTAAAAAATGCAAGATGTTTACTGAGGAGCTAATTAGGCAATTTGCAGTAAATGTTTTGTGTAGATGTGCCCCTTCAAGCCCTCTAATGATCAGTCTATGTAGTGGCCACCATCTCAGGCGCATCTACACAAGACATTTACTGTGCAGTTGATTAGTTAAAAAAACAGTAAACATCTCAGTGTCTACATGCGCACCCCTATTAGGGTGTGCAAAACTAATAAACTCCACAGCAGGGTAGTACTGTAAATACATTGGAATTTGTAAGTACAAAATGCCGTGGAGTTTTTTTGTGTGCAGCAGCACACATGTAGACGCTGGCTGGCTGGCTGGGGCTGCTTGCCAGCTAGCTCCACACCGAAGCACCTTTATGCCCCAGCCAGTCCCTCTGCAGCACAATGACCCTGGTTGGAGCAGCCCCAGGCTGGCAGGCTGACGTCCCTGGACTGTCTGCCATCCAGGGCTGCTGTGGCTTGGCTCAGTGTGCTGCAGTCTGGGCGCATGTGCAAATGTGCATCCCGGCGCTTCCCAGGAGCAACAAGCTGTAGAGTAATAAGTTCCACAGTTTATTGCTGTCCCCAATGGCATGTGTAGATGCACCTCTCTAGTACTTCTCACTACTGGAATTCTACATTAGGCTCAATGTTAATCTTGTTTAAAAAAATCAGGAATATTTTGATGAATTTTAATATTAATGCATTCTTTTATACAGCTCTTGTCTTATACATTGAATACTGCTATATATGTATAAGTCACAATAAAAAAAAATCAGTTCAACACTTCTCCATCTACAGATGTCTACTTCTACAAATTCTGTTTTGGAGATCTATGTGAGGAAGTGTTACATAGGTATCCATAATGCACTAGTACTGAGGCAGCTGAAGGGAATTCATTGAGAGACCACTGAGAACAGATTTAGTTTAACAAGATTAGCTGGTGTGACAAAATGCCAGCTGATATAAAATTACAATGGTTCAAATCTACACTGAAAGAAAGGTTTATAGGTTTCTCATTAGCTAGTGGTTTAGGCTACATTTCACCATACAATCTATCCCAGAAATTATTTAGGACTTTTTTCTGAAAACTTTTTCAGTATAATAACTGGGAATTAAAAAAAAACACAAAACAAAGACCCTAATCTTCAGCTGGATCTTCTGGAGCTGCTTGAGAGAGGGTGGAGTTTTTATAGGTAATTGATAGTCAACAGGAAAATTAACAACTCTGCGCTAGGATATCAGGAGAGTCTGAGTATCATTAGGCAAGATTGCAGACTACACCTCTGGGGAGGGTCTAGCTAGCGTATAAAGCTGCGTGTCTGATTCTGAAGGAGAAAGACTCTCCATGAATGCTTTGCCTACTGCATAGTTCCTATGGACTTGACAATTAGAAAAGAACCTTCGACTGGATAAGAATTTAACTAAGTAAATAACAAGAACATGACATTGCTTCTGTGTGATTCCTTGTCTTACCTTATCTCTGGTGGTTTCGTTATGAGTTCATGAGTTCAGCAAACCTCTGTTCATAAAGGTGAAGCAGCAGCACCAAGTAGACACCTGCATTCATTAGCTCACTGTGTGCCTGTGTGCAGGAAAAACAAATCAAAGTATAACTGCAATGCTGATTTCTAAAGGCCTTGAGAAAGAAAAATAGTTAACAAAAAAAAGTGTGTTACACTAGTCATGGACTATATTATGTTTTGTATTTATTAACTCTGAGCTTAACTGTGAGCTATTTTCACAAATTTATATTACATTTGTTAATCGCCATGTCTATGTTATCACACCCCACAGCCTAACATAAGGACTTGGCACTGGTATGTGACAGACCTGGCCTAGCTTCCTGAGCTCAGTCTGTCAAACTCCAGGGCCAGAACTGACTTTCAGCATTATTTAAGTAGGATGTTGAAAATAAAAAGTAAATAAAGGACTCAAATTGAGCTTTTGTGGAAAAGTAAAGAATGCTATTTACACACTCCAAAGAAGTCATGTCTAATGCTTATTTTTGTAACTTTAAATGTAAATTCATACATTTTACAACCACATCTGTGTAACTGTAAATGTAAATTCATACATTTTACAACCACATGGAATTATTAAGATCATCAAGTCTGGCCTTCAGCTTGAAACAGGGCATTGAATTTCATCCAAAATATAACCAGGGATATCATAGGATAGAAATGTAAAAGAAGGAGTAGAGAATATCTCATCAGAAAAAAGACAAAATTGAATTAGCTCCTTGAGACAAACAGCAGCCTATTCCAACTAGTGATTAAACAAATCCTGGTTATTTGAAATTGCAGCCATGCTACTATACTTACTCAAATATATGGTGAGGTTCCACCCCCTCCTTCCCCCCCTCTACTTCCAAATGGCATAGGGAAAAAAGTCCCTCATCTTATAATTGCATACAGAGAAATCTCACTAAATACATTGTCTATTGTTAGACTGCTGTCAAAAGGAGCGTGTGCTCAGCAACAGAAACCAACTAAGAAGCTGAATAAATGCAGCCAGCACTGAGCATGACTATAAAACACATTCTTTTAAAATTGTGTTTCAAGGGCCAAATCAGTTCTGAATTCTACCGGGCAAAGCCCAATAGTCAAGTTCCAAGTTTCAACTGAGGAGAGCTAAATAGTTCAAGTCTGTGTGGCTCTACCACTGGGCAAGTATCCTTCTTCTCAGACCCATCAGTCTGGGCCTTCAGATACTTGCCAGCTCTGTGGCAGACATCCTACGTGCAAGCCCCAGGCCCAGGGACCCTGAGGTTCAGATGCCCTCTAATCTCTTTTGCTCCTAGCCAAAAGAACAGGGAGCAAGCCAGGGGGAATGCAAGAAAACAGTTTCTCACTGCACCAAAATTGTGCAGTTGAGTTTCCTGCATCTGGGAAAACTTGCAGGGGTAGCCTGCCCAAAATGCAAGGAACAGGCAAACCACCCCTGGGAAAACCATCCCTGTCAGGTACTTGAAATGGCCCACATTGGGCAAGCATGGTGATGGGAACTTTTTTTTTTTTTTTTTTGGTGTGGCCCTTTAAAAAATGGGCAGTTACTCCCCCACAAGGAAACAAGCACCATGGGCTGGCACTATTGCACAGTAGCGCTGGTTACTGCACAGTTAGTACCTATTACAGCTACTAGACTTAATGCACCATAACCATGGCACATTAATGCACATGTAGACGGGCCTTGTGTCTCCAGCCCTTTGGGCATTAACCCATATGTTAAATCACAGTTCATATTGATCATCCTCAAGAATCAACACACCCATTCCCCTTGCACAAAAGGGCACTCCCAAAATACAGGTGGTACTGTTTCTTCAGCCCCACATCCCTCTCTTGGGCACACTGTTGATCTTACCAAACCCTATTCATGCTGAATGCCCCTCACAGGAAGAATATTCCATATCATCATCCATACAATATCTGTATGTTTTCTTTTCAATCTTTATCTGTCACTTCTTTCCGCACATTTGCCATGTTTTTCAATCAAAAAACAACTTACCTTTTTATCATATTAATCACCTTCTTATAGTCTTTCAGTCACTGTAATCCCATTCCCTCAAGTTTATTTACTCTTAAAAAGCTCTCCATCTTTGTATAGTGGGCTGAGGGCTGCCACTCCCACAGTTTTTTCTAATCTCCCCCATACATTCCTGTGGCAGAGTACTGTTGGTGCCTGCCACTTTAAGGACCAAGCCAAGCAGCCAGCAGGTGCTTGATTGCAGTGGCCATTTTAGATCTCTGGATGCCTATATAAACACAGCAGTTTGCTGCTGGCAGGGCAGGCAGAAACACTGTCTGGTTGCAAGGCTGAATGCAACATCCTTGGAGGTAAGGTCAGGAGCTTAAAGGGATGGTGTGGAGGCTCCTGGTCCTGGGCATGACCTAAAACTTCACCCTGCCGGGAGTGGGTGGCCTGGTGGGACTCTCAATGGTGCGGGAGCCCCCAGGAAATACCAGGCCAGTTATCACCCTGGTGAAAGGTGGGTTGGGGCGCCTTAATAACCCCAGCTCCCACAACCGGATGGGTTACCCCATAGTAGGGCCAAGAAGATGGACCCAGGGTAGAGAGTGGGCTAGAAGCTCAGAAGCCTGACTTGAAACACCCTTGACTGGTCAATGCTGGGGCCAGGACCAGAAGGGTCAAAAGGGCCAGAGGCCCACCGTGAGGGACACCCAGAGCTGAGGGCCTGGGGTTCCAACTGGCCTTGGAGGTGAGGCCAGGGCCTGTGTGGCAAAGGTCCCGGGGGGCCATGCCCAAGAGGGTGAAGAGTTCAGGGAGCAGGGCAGCCCAGAATGAGGGTGGAGTAGGCTGCCTTATTGGAGGGATCCAGTTGGGGTCTGGACTACAGGATTCTAGGGTCCAGTGTTGGGCCGGTGATGTTAAGAACTGTGGATGCCATCTGTGAGGCATGGGCTGTGGTGTAGGGGAGGAATGGAGCTGCAGCTATCGTCCCCTGGCATCGGGGCAAGAATGGGCAGCCTCCCACCTTAATAAGAACCAATTAAGAAACAACAAGGTGTGGCAGGAGAGGAGGCGGGTGGTTGGCCCAGAAACAGGTGAGCAGGCCAATGACAGATCGGCCCCAAGAAGGCCCCCTGTTACAGTTCCCTATCTTCATAATGTTCTTTCTGCCAGGTGATGGCAGAAGCATGCAGTCTTCTCCGTGTCCTCCATTGCCTCTTTACAGAATATTCTTATGAAGTAAGTATACACAAAGTTTTCCAAATCTGGCATTCTCCATCCTCCTAATTCCTTGGCTTTGTAGAGCTCCATTCTGGCTACTTTCTCAAAAACAGCATATCTGCCTCTGTACCCTGCTTATCTGTTGCTATAGAAGTAAAAACATCACTCCTGTAAAAAGGATGATTTGCAAGAGTACCATTTTCACCACAGCCACTTTACCTTTGAAAGATAAGACAGGTTGGGTGGCACTTACCTGTCCCCTCCTTCAGTGGGAGGGAGGGACCCCTTTCACCCCCTGAGAGCACCGCAGCACTGACCAGCCCCTCTGCACATGCATGCAGTTTAAAAAGGGCCCAGCAATGGCAGAAGCTGCACTCAGGTCCTGGCTCTGGTGTGAGAAACATGGGTGAAAGCCCATTGTGCCCCCATGAGCCCAGGGACCCCCAGGAGAGACCCCAGGACCCCCAATGAGCCCTGGCCTGCCTGCAGGTAAGCAGGGGCCCATGGTGGGAGGGACGTAGCCAGCAGGGAGGCAGCTGAGTGGAGCTGAGGAGGGTCATGCCCCCTCGGCTACTACACCCAGCCCCTCAGGAAGCTGCGTGACTGGAGCCTTGTGAACAGGACGCACAAACAGGTGCGATTCTGGGGCCAGCGTACAGGTTAGCACGGTGGAGTTTGCACAGGAGGGTGAGCAGGAGGGCCCGTGGCCCTGCCAGTGAGCCACCTAGGGTAGGCAGTCCCTTCAGTAGCCGGCCTACAGTGGCACGGTGCGGATGGGCACACACCACACCCAGAGGGTCCCCTCGGAGTCTGCAGCCTCCCCCTCTGGCACCTCAGAGGCCTCTACCCAGATGCAATCCATGTTTCCAGGCTCCACGCAGACGGAGCCCCTGACTCTTGGCTGCAGGGGCTGCCTGGCACATTTCCAGGCTTATGGGACTGGGATCGTGGCTATCTCCCCTTGCAGAGTTTGCTCCACTTTGGAGTCTCTGGGGTGCCAGATAGGAGCTCCAGGCCACAGTCCAGAGACTGCGTGCCATCAGGGAGGGTGAGCAGGAGATTGATTCCTACTGCCAGGCCCTTCACCCCCTGGAGGCAGAGGGTAGACCAAAGTCACCTCCCAGGAAAAGGGAGGACTCGGGGATCTCACATACTGTCCAGCCAGAGGGTTGGACCAAGGTGGTTAAGGGCCCCAAGGCCCGCCACACCAAGGTTCCCTCTCCTCTGGGGCTTTGCAACAGGTAAGAACCTCTTGCAGCCCCAGTAGAACCTGCAGAGATACCAGCTCCTGCAGGCAAGGGAGGATCACCCACCCCTACTCTCCCGAAGACGAAACACAGAGTTTCATAGTTTCATAGTAGCTAGGGTCAGGAGGGACCTGAACAGATCATGTAGCCTGACCCCCTGCCACAGGCAGGAATGAATGCTGGGG